TGGTAGCAGTGAAAATGGTGAGGAGTGGTCAGATTCTACGAATATTTTTAAGGAAATCCAAAAAAAATTTGCTTATGGCTTGGATATGGGGGCTGGGAAACAGAGGAATCAAGGATTATCCAAGGTTTTTGGTTTGAGCAACTGGAAAAATGATTGTGCTAATTACTAATGGGGAAGGGAGAGAAGCAAGGTTGGAGAGAACAGATTAGGAGTTTAAGTTTGGATATATTTTTCGGGTGAAAATGTTGAGAAGACAGTTGTGCACTACTTCTCTCCCCCTTCTCTTTTTTTTTTCTTTGACAGGCAGAGTGGACAGTGAGAGAGAGAGACAGAGAGAAAGGTCTTCCTTTGCCGTTGGTTCACCTTCCAATGGCCGCTGTGGCCGGCATGCTACGGCCAGCGCACCGCGCTGATCCGATGGCAGGAGCCAGGTACTTATCCTGGTCTCCCATGGGGCGCAGGGCCCAAGGACTTGGGCCATCCTCCACTGCACTCCCGGGCCATAGCAGAAAGCTGGCCTGGAAGAGGGGCAACCAGGACAGAATCCGGCGCCCCGACCGGGACTAGAACCCGGTGTGCCGGCGCCGCAAGGCGGAGGATTAGCCTAGTGAGCCGCGGCGCTGGCCTATCCCTCTTCTCTTTATTTATTCCTTTTAATTTATTTATTCCTTTTAGCTATTTGTGAGACCTCATTTTATGTTCCACATATGCTGGCCTCTTGCTCTCTCTCTCTCTCTCTGTCTCTCTCTCTTCTGTTATTTGCTGAATAAGTTCTTAAGATCCATTTTCCAATTACATTATCTCTCCACAAGTAACTCATCTCTGCTTAACTCATTCATTGACTTTTTTTTAAAGATTTATTTATTTACTTGAAAGTCAGAGTTACACAGAGAGGAGAGGCAGAGAGAGAGAGAAAAGAGAGAGAGAGAGAGAATCTTTCATTCACTGGTTCACTCCCCAATATCCAGCTATAGAGAGCTGGATAGGAAGTGGAGCAGCTGGGACCGGCGCCCACGTGGGATGCCAGCGCTTCAGGCCAGGGCGTTAACCTGCTGAGCCACAGCACTGGGCCCCATTGACTTTTAAATTTTCACTTTTACCTCTTAGTATCTACATGGGATTGGTTTCAGGACCCTCCCTCCGTGCATACCAAAATCTGTGGATACTCAAGTCCCTTATAGAAAAATGATACAGTATCTGCATATAACCTACACATATTCTTCTACTTTAAAATTATTTATAATACATCATGCAATCTAAATGCTGTGTAAATAGTTGCTAAATTGTATTTTTTAGGAAATGATGTATGTTCAAAACAGAAAATAAAAAAAGTTATTTCCACAGTTGATTGAATCCTTGGTTGCAGAATTCACACAGTCAATTGTATTGTATTTTTGATTTCTAGAAGGCTGCTCTGTTTTTTTTTTTTTCAAATATAGCTGTCCTTTTCAGTAACATCTTGTTCTTTTTATTTCTTCTTGTATGTCCTCCATCATTTTGTAAAATTTATTTATTTTAAATTATAGCCTTAACCATTTTAACATTTATTATCTCTGTGAGCTTTCTTGTTATCTGAAGTTCATAGAAGTTTAATCCTACTGTCTATTGTGTTTGCTGACTCTTGCTTATTGTGGATTTTTTTACTCATGTTCAGCTAGGATTCATTGATGACAATCCTGTTCATCCTGACTAGAAGGCATACTTACACTGAGAGGTTTGGTTTTTGTTTTTTTCCAGATATCTGAGAAAGACCAATTTATGTGTTAATCTCAGAAGTTGTAGGTTCTGTGACCAATCAGGTAGTTCAGATTTGAACCGTAAATGGGGTTAAGCATTCATAGAGAAGGAAAACAAAACTTCCTCCATCCTAGGTCCAGGCCAAAATCAGACAAACCACCTACCTTGTGTCCCTATGCCAATGGGAAGGTTATTTCCTAGTCCCTTTCCCTGAGGGTATAGTTCTTTGAAGGCAACCTCATCATAAGGATGTCCAAAAGCACTCTCTTTCCCTTTCAAATTAAGACAAATTCCCGGGGGCCGGCGGCACTGTGACCAAGCAGATAAAGCTGCCGCCTCCATTGCTGTCATCCATATGGACACCACACGGGCCCGGCTGCTCCACTTCCGATCCAGCTTTCTGCTGTGGCCTGGGATAGCAGAAGATGGCCCAAGTGTTTGGGCCCCTGCACCCATGTGGGAGACCTGGAAGAAGCCCCTGGCTCCTGTCTTCGTATCAGCCCAGCTCTAGCCATTGTGGCTGTTTGGGGGGTGAACCAGCAGATGAAATCTCTCTCTGCTTCTGCCTCTCTGTAACTCTTTCAAATAAATACATAAATATTAAAAAAAGAATAATCCCACTTTGTTCTAATATTTCTTAATTTGGGTGATGATTTATCAATATTTACCTTTAAAATTTGTACCCTTCTCTACATGTAGATTATATTTTAATTAAAAAGTATATGAAAAATAGGCCGGTGCCGTGGCTCACTAGGCTAATCCTCCACCTGCGGCGCCGGCACTCTGGGTTCTAGTCCCGGTCGGGGCACCGGGATTTGGTCCCGGTTGCTCCTCTTCCAGTCCAGCTCTCTGCTGTGGCCTGGGAAGGCAGTGGAGGATGGCCCAAGTGCTTGGGCCCTGCACCCACATGGGAGAGCAGGAGGAAGCACCTGGCTCCTGGCTTCGGATTGGCGCAGCACGCCAGCCAATGGCAGCCATTTAGGGGGTGAACCAACGGAAGGTTTCTGTCTGTCTCTCTCTCACTAATTCTGCCTGTCAAGAAAAAAAAAAGGATATGAAAAGCAAAACATGTTTTTAAACCATTAATGGGCCAATTCTACCCAAATTGATATATAGATTACAGGCAATTCCTTTCAAAATGTCAGCGAGAGAAAAGTTTGTTCTAAAATATATATGTATGGGTGAGCATTTGGAACAGTGGGTATGTTGCACTTGAGACATCCACATACCATATCAGAGCACCTAGTTTGAATCTCAGATAATTCATTTCAAATATAGTTTCCTGCTTATGCATACCCTGGAAGACAGCAGGTGATGGCTAAAGTACTGAGGTCCCTGCTACCCATGCGGGAGACCCATATGGAGTTCTGGGCTCTTGGTTTTGGCCTAGCCCAGTCCTGGCTTTTGCAGGCATTTGAGGAGTCAACCAGTGAATGGAAGGGCTCTCTCCATCTGTTTCTCTCTCTGCCTTTCAAATAAAAATTTAAAAATATGTATCTATATGAAAAGTCACAGGCCCTATAAAATGGAAGGAACCATTCTGCCCAATAGTAAGGATTGCTATATAGGTACATTAATTAAAACTGTGATTTTGGTGGAGGATTTATGGAACAGAATACAGATTCCAGAAAGAGACCCATACAAGTGTGGCCACCTGATTTTTGGCAAAGGCAACTAACTCAATAGAGTAAGGATGGTATTTTTCAATAAATTATGTTTGTACAATTGTACATTTCATAAGTAAAAAAGAACTTTGACTTAAACCTCTTATTATATACTAAAAGTATCTCAAAAGGAATCATAGATCTAAACATAAAACTATGTACAATTTTAAGAGTTAACATAGAAATTTTTCATGACCTAGAGTTAGGCAAAGAATTTTTAAACAGGATAATCCAGAAAATAAATAAAATTGATAAATTAGAATTTATCCAAATTAAGACACTGATATAAGGATAAAAAGACAGGCTACAGACTGGAGAGATATTAGCAAGTCACATATCTAACAAAGGATTTGTATCCTAAATATATAAAAAGCTCCCCAGACTCAACCATAAGCAAACCATCCAATTAAAAATATCAAAAGACTTGAACAGACACTTCACCACAGATGTATAAATGGCACATAAGCACAAGTATGGAAGCATTGTGGTGGAAGTGATGTGGTTTATGTGGGATGACCACACTCACAACTCCAGAGGGTCCTTTTTTGCCACAACGACTACAGCCTATAATCCAGGCCTAAATCGGCAAGTAGATGGCATTCCTAGACTACGGGGATCAAGTCAGGGATAATTAAACTGGTACAAAACTCAGACCTGTTTTGAAAAATATTTGTGGGAAATGATCACATCCTCATTTGTTGCAGGCAGCCATCCTGTGACCATGAAGTATCCAGAAGATAAAATTAACACATATCAAAGAGGGTAGCACTGAAGTGAATCAAATCTCTGAATACACTGTGCCTAAAACCCACATACCTCTACATTTTCAAATGACATAAGCCAATGTCCCATGCTTGATTTGTGTTTTTTGTCATTTCCAATTGAAAACATCCTCATGTCTACCACACTTACAAGTCAACATCCTTTAAGACTTGTTTCACCTTCAGGAAATTTTTCATGTCTGTTAAATGTTCCTTTTTCCTCTGAGCTCTTCCAGTTCAGAGTCTGAGCCACTCACCTTATCACGGCTCTCCCACCCTCTTTCTGACATGTGCGCGCATGCACACACACACACACACACGCCCCAAACCCTTATGGCATCTTCATGTTGCTTTGCCTCACATTTCATCCCTTCCTCAGTTGTATCACTGATCCTGGTACAATGTGATACTCAACATTTGTTAAAATTGTGACTCTGTTTCCTCTACAAGACCATCAGTTCTTGAGGGTCTGACAATCCTTCCACTTGGCTCCTCCCTGCTCCACTATTTCTTGCATTAAGCCATAAAGATGAGGCTCAGTAGCAAGAGAAAGAGGTTCAAGGGCATCCATGCTTGTTTATTACTGCTTGTGTATCCCTCCTCCTAGTCATCTGCCTCCATGCCTTTGCTGGAGATGGAGCCAGCCAAGTTCCACCTGGAGCATCTTTCTATTTTCATGCGTTCTAAATTCTACCCCTTCAAACTCAAGTCTTGCTCTAGGAGGGAGGAAGGCTGTGAGGGACTGGGAAGGGACTAATGGGAACTGAGTGGATGGTTATGTTCATATCTTGACACGGGCATGAGCTAGAGGTGTATACATTTGTTTAAACACATGAAATTATACTCTTAAGATGTGCACATTTATTACATTGTATGAATATTTTACCTTAAAAAAGAATCACATTGAACTCTAGTAAATGGCATGGATTCTGAAGTCTTCAAAGGAATGTATACCCACATATAATTATGAAGTGCATAAAATAAAGATGGGTCGATGCATAAACATATCTGATAAAATCCATTGTAGTAAAATGGTAGTTATGGAATCTGGGTGGTGGATATATGGGTGTTCATGGTAGAGTTACTTTGACTTTCTGAATGTTTGAAAATGTTCATAGTAAAATGTTAAAGACAAAATTAAAGGATGTGGATTAACATTTCTGGTATCTTCACACTCGTTAGACCTCCGTTACATATTAATCAGAAACTCACAACCAGCCTTCACGCTGGTTTCTAACCCACTTTGGTCTTTATAACCCCAAGGATCCCCAAAGAGAACATTCTGAAAGATAAATCTGACCTCCATGTTCCAGGCCCTGTTGGCCTCTTCAGCTTCATCCCGATATGCCTCGCTACTTCAGACTGAGATCTAGCTCAACTCAAGGGCTTGTAGTTTGATTCACATATGAGGATGCTTCAGGACATCTGACTTTTGCTGTCCCTCCTGCTTGGAATTTTTCCAACTTCCCTTCTCTGGTAAATGCTTTGAAACTCAACTCAGGTGTTAAAATCTTTCCAGAATACTTTCCTACTTTGCAGAATGGGTTGGGTCTCCCTACTTCATTCTCCCGTGGCACCTTGTACTCATTAGCGACACAGTATTAATCCCAATATGCTGTACTTGGGTTTTCATCGCTGCATACTAAAGCACATGCTTCCTGAAGATCAATGGTATGCACGGGGCCTGACATGAGAGTCTGTGATAAGTCACTGTAGAACTGAGCCACTGATACTGAACTGGCATCTTTCAACAACTCTGTCACAAATTTGTATTTTCACTACAGGAATTTAAGGACCACCACACCAATAGATTCAGCCACCTCCCTTTGTTCTTTAAACAGCACCTTCCTCATGTAGCTGACAACCTTATGATGTAGGGATTATGTCTTAATTTTACAGATGGCAAAATTGAGGCAAGGAGATATGAAGCAACCAGCTCAAGATAGCATAAGTGGCAGAACCGAAATTGAATCACTGATGTTTTCAACTCCCAAACACATCCACTTTCCACAAGAGTCCACTGTCTATGTTGGGTCAGGTTTTGGAAAACCTTGAAATCTTGGGTTGTAAAAAGCAAAGGAAGGCCATGGAATGTTCTTTAAAAAAGCAGGAGAAGAAAATAGAACTGTAGGGAGGTACTCCTGATAGGTTGTATATGACAGAATGGAAATAGAATGTAGGGAAAGGCGCTGGCCTCTGAGAATATAAAATGATTATTTTATCTCTCCTACCACATCCAGTGATGAGAGGTGGCATTATGGTTGGTTCTACGGTAAAATGAACTGCTTTGAGTTTAAAAACTGAAAGGGGGATACAGGAGTCCATCTTCTTTACTTTGGGTTCTGAGTGGCTGACTCCATTGTTTTACCTTCTGGAAATGGCTTGGATTTCCACCCCTTATGAGATGTAGAAATAGGACAAAGTCACCATTTGACGAGACAGCTGGGTAAAGGGTTCCTAGTGAAGTGGCTTTCGATGGGAGCAATTATAAGATGGTGCCCTCCCCATCTTTCTGTAACTTCCACACTAGCCTCCCTGGCTTCAATCTCTCCCCCAAAGAGATCCTTTTTAAAAGTAAGTTGGAGCTGGTGCTGTGGCATAGTGGGTAAAATCACTGCCTGTGATGCCAGAAACTTACATGGGTGGCAGTTGGAGTCCCAGCTGATCCACTTCTGATCCAGCTCCCTGCTAATGTGCCTGGAGCAGCAGCAGCAGTTTGCCCAAGTTCTTGGGCCCCTGCATCCATATGGGTGACCCGGATAAAGCTCCTGGATTCAGCCTGGCCCAGCCCTGGCTGTTGTGGTCATTTGGGGAGTGAACGAACCAGTGAATGGAAGTGCTCTCTCTTCCTCTTTCAAATAACTAATTTTTTAAAATAAGTTTTCTGTTTAAAACTCTTTACTGCTCTCTGCCATTAAATAGGACTCCAGTCCTCCATTATCTGGGGTTTTGAAATAAATATTAAAGACCTAATTAATTATAATCACATACCTTCTCAAAATACACCTTTCCTCCTGGAGATTCTACATAAGCCCCACCCCCTCCTTCTCAGTGAGTCAAGGCTGCACTTACACCAAATTGCTTGTCCTTCTCTTCATCTCTTTCTCCACCTATTTTTATTCATGCTATGGCCTTGGTATGGAACATTCTTCCCACTGCCTCTCCTAATTACTTTTCATTTTTCAGTTCAGGCATCATCTGACAGGAAGCCTTCCCTAAATTACCTGCTTCCTTAAGATGGATTCCCTGTCCAATATGCCATTTTCATCTCTACCACTATGCTCTACCATCTGGTGCTCTTCTCTACACAACTTATTGGAGCGCAAGTATCTTTTCAGTCAACTTGGTGTGAACAGGGTCCTAATGGAGGGGCTGTTTAGTTTAGGCAGGGTACACTATGTGAGCAAGCAAAAATGGAGATCTGTACCCAGGGCAAGTCAGGGCTAGAGGATTCAGTTTGGGAATTTATAGCATTCAGAAAGTTCAGGGAAAATCAAGCCTCTAGAGGGCTTCTTAGCTGAGATAATTAAAGTTGGCAAATGTAGACCCAGAGAGCCCTCTCTCTGCTCTGGTTTGGATGTGGTTTGTCTCTCTCAAAACTCATGTTGAAATTTGGTTGTCAATGCAGTGGCGTTGGAATGTGGGCCTTTGGGTGGTGAATGGGTCATGGGAACACAATCCTCAAGAAATGATTCTTTCTCTAGATAATGGGTTAGTTCTTGAGACTGGATTAGTTCTAGCAACAGTGGGTTATTATAAAGCTGGCATCTCCTGTCACACGTGCCCCTCTTGCACATATTCCTCTCCTACTTTTCCATCATGAGGTGAAGCAGCATGTGGCACTTGCCAGATGAGGTCACCTGACCTTGTACTTCCTAGCCTCCATGCTCACGAGCCAAAAGAAACCTCTTTTCTTTATGACTTACCCAGTCTATGGCATTCTATTTTAGCTACACAAAACATGCTCCCAAATTACTCATTGAGATGGAAAGCTCTTGTGTAATTTTTTTCTATATACTTTTTCACTCCATACTGGAAAAAGGGAATAATGGCGCTGGGTGCCTTGCTCCCCTCCCAGAGTTAGAAAGCAGCCTCTGATCTGCTGGCATCTCCTGCCTGGACTGAGAAGTAAGGTGACTAAGACTCTAGGTTATCCTCTAACCTGAGGCTGGTGCTTTGTCCCTTCACAGAATAGGCTGGGAGTTGGTGACATAAAAAACCTAGCCTATCATTTCTGGAAAGGCTATGAAATCCCTCTGCTTTCCTGTTGCCTTTCTATCAAGAGATGTAGTTCCTTGTGCCCCAGACATGAATCTTCTCTACCCAAATCCTGGCTAATACTGAGACTCAGATTGAGAACTGGAGATGATTTAACCAGTAGGTGCCAGACTCAGACTGCTTCACTCCAGACCCCCGAAGTAGAATTTTCAAGACATCTTAGATAGGGTTTCTTTAACAGGTACTCAGGGTCACATAGTGTCAAAGTGGTGGTGAATTTGAAATTAGGTTCCAAACTGTATTCTCAGGATAGTCCTCTGGACACAACTCTTAATTCTGTACCTTGCATGCAACAGGTGCTGAATAGACATCCAGGGGTGCTTGAGCTTCAAAAGGTTTTTGGGCATGGTAAAGGGGAAAAAACAACAAACATGAGCTTTGGAACCAGGAAGATGCTGGCAAGTTTGTCTCCTTAACTGTAAAACAAGGCTAATTATTTCATGAGGTTGTCAGTGAGGATTAAACTAGCCCTAAACTGGCACCCTAAAGGCACTTGATAAATGATAGCAGTTATCAGTGAGATGTGGTGGAATACAGTAATAAGAACACAGACTCTGGGGCCAGCATTGTGGCACAGCAGGTTAAACTGCTGCCTATAATGCTGGCACCCCATGTGGCTGCCAGCTCAGGTTCTGCTGTTCCACTTCTGATCCAGCTCCCTGTGAATATGTCAGAAAAAGCAGAAGATGGCCCAAGTGCTTGGGCCACTGCCACCCACATGGGAGACCCAAATGGTGTTTCTGAATCCTGGCTTTGGATTGGCCTAGCCTTGACTGCTGTGGCCATTTCGGGAGTAAACCAGTGGATGGAAGATATCCCCCCAGCAGCCCCCCCATAACTCTGCCTTTCAAATAAATAAATAAATAAAATCTTAAGAATAAAAAGAATTTGCATTCTATGAAAAAAACAAACATTCTAGATCCAGGCTGGCCCCAGAACTTCTTTTATATGCGATGCTGGAAGGTTGCTTTGCCTGTTCCCTCACTGGCAGGATGAGGATGTTGGTGAGGATGAAATGAGTCCATATATATATATATACACATACATATACATATATATATATATATATATATATATATATATATATATGTATGTTATCCCACATTCACAAAAAGAAGACACAAGCACAGTCAGTATAAACAGCTTCTTCATGGAAGCTATGGAAAGTCTCTCCACTGAACTTTTAAGTCCCTCTGAATTGTTGCACCCTTTCTTTTCTGCCCACTATACTTCTGGTTATCTGTTTCGAGTGTGTGAACTGTGTCCCTCCTAAGGGCAGGGATCCTGTCCCCTTCCCACACCAGGCACAAGGCTGGGCACCAGAAGTGCCTAGTGACAATTTGCTGAAAGACAAAAAGAATACAACGAGAAGGTAGAAGGCGGAACTCCTGGACCCCACACCACATTACCACCAACAAAAACAAATCAAAACAAAAAAAGAAAAGAAAAGAAAAGAATGCCAAGCAAAGCAATTGCCAAGATAAATCACTTTTATCTCTATAGGAAAGGGAGAATCTAAAAAAAATATAAATTACATTAGTAACACAACATAAGAAAAAAACAGGGGAAAAAAAAAACGAGAAGTCTGGATGATACTACTCTAACCTATTTATAAAAAGGCCCTGCATCAGAAATTCACAATCCTACCCACTTCTAAAAATATATTTAGACATGTACAGAAGCGGTGGGCTTGTTTTTAAATTGTTTGCTTTGTCTGTAAAAATATATTAAAGGTGAATAGAAATCCTCTCTCCCTGCCCCCTATCTAACCCTCAGCTCTCTGCTGGGGATTGGAGATCAGAGGTAACTATCTCACCATGTTCTAAACCTTGGTTACTACCAACTCCCAACCTCCTCCTCAACTCACTTCACTTAGAACCTGAAACATTAAAAACAAAAACAAAAAACACCAGCCTCTTTGGAAAAGCGTAACTCTGAGGGTAAACTTGCTTTTCATTGGAAACAACACAAAACAACAAACAGGAGGCTATGAGAATCCAACTAAACTAAATAAAACCCAGTCAAATGGAGGCTGGGTTTCAGCTCCACAGAAACTAACAAAGAAACAAAGGGAAAGAGGCCTGGAATCAGGGGAATTTGCTAGCAATTAGCTGCCTTTGAAAGATCAAGAGTAGGTGTTAACGGGCAAAGGGCTGGGGACCTGGTATTGGTTACAGCAGCCAGCGCCTAGTCAGGCAGTCGCCTACACAGGGACAGAGGTTTCTCCTGCCCTCCCCTCACTATTCTCTGCTCCCTTGAAATCCCCAAGACAAGCAAAGCTGGGTAGAAACAGAGGGGAGGGAAATAGGACCTCAAGTGCTAAGGGGGAGGTAGCCAGGCTTTTTGCCTTTGGTGTGACTAGATGGAGGACTGCTTGGCCCCTGGGGTCCCCAAGGTAGAAAAAGCAAATGGACTAAGGGACCCCTGATTCCAAGGAAGGAGAGTAGAGGAGGGGCTATGGAGAAAAGAAAGACAAACTGGAGACACAAAGAACACAAAGGAAGCCTCACAAATTCCCTGTGGCCTGCATGGTAGCTGTTCAATTCCCCAGAAGCACTGAGCAAGCTGGGGTGAGGTTGGAGTGAAGGGTAAAGATCAAGGATACACTCCATTTGGGAAGTGCCAAAATGGAGGGGCAGGGGATTCTCCATCAAGTCCAGATTGCCAATGAGACAAGACAGGAGGGAGGTGGGGGCACTGTCTGGACAATGCAGACAATCCACGCAGGAAAGAAGGGGGAAGGGAGGATCATCATCAGATGGTCTGCTTCTTCACATCTGAATGTCTCTTCTGGGCCTAGGGTCAGCAGTGGCCCATCTGTACTTTGCTTGAACGTCGAGTTGACCTGTGGCCTGGAAGTGCAAAAGCCCAGGATTGAAAATGTGAAACCTGAAGTTTTCTTCAGACTGAGACCTCAGGTGAGGAAAGAAGCATAGAGGTTCCCAGGGATGGGTTGTCCTGCCGCACCCTGTCTGGAAGGTCCAGGCTGGGCTCGGTGGTATAGGTGGAAGAAACAGGTTGGAGGGCCAAGGTTATGTGCTTCAGTGGCAGGTGCTTTCAGGTTTCTGGGAGATGGTTTTCATCTGCTGGGGCCCGACCACAGCCACGTGGATAATGTTCTGCAGGATCTCAAAGTCCAGGCAAATCCCTGGAGCTTACCTGGCACGAGGGGCTTCAAATGTAGCCAGCCAAAAGTAGCTTCTTCCAATGGGCCACAAAGTCAATGGTCAACAGCTTGGGTGTCTGTTCTCTCCCCACTTAAAAGTGACAGGAATCTCTTTTCCTCCCAAGGATAAGTGAAGTCAGCCTTTCTAGGCTACCTCTGGAAATGGCCCACAGTGGGGCAGTACGAAAGACACTAGGCCCTCCTCTTTATTTCCACAAAGTTTTGGCAAGAGGGGGCAGACACCATAGCCTTCTCTCAGGAACAAGTTTGGAGGTGGGGCACATCCACTGGATTGGGAGGAAGACGAAGGCAGAATGGACAGGCTTCTGGATAAAGGGCTTGAGTTGCACAAAGTATTGAGTACTGGGACCTCCCACTTCATGGCCAGAGAAATAGGGAGGGCCCAGGTTCTCTTTCTTCATGCCTCTCTGCCTCCTACCATCCAACTCTGGGGCAGGGTGGGGATGGGGGCCAAGAGTAAAGGACAGACAAGGCAGGTAAAAGGGACCTGGGCTGGAAAAGGAGAAAAGTGGTTCTGGTCAGCTGGAGACCTTTCCCATTTTCCTGCTACTCAGGGTATGGAGAGAAGGCGGCAGGATGATCCAGTGGAAATGGAGAAGGAGTTGGGAGCAGCTGGAGGACGGGGTCTGTGGGGGGAGTCCGTGCCTTTGGTCAGTCCAAAGAAAGCAGGACAGTGCACCTCAGCACCTTGTCCAGGGCAGATAAGATCCAGGAGTGCCCCGACAGTTGACAACAGAGAAGGCAATGGGGGTGTAGGGGTGAGAGCTGGAACACAAGGAAGCTCACAGAAGTAGTTTGCCATTTCTGTGGATTTTCAGGATACGGCCGAGTCTCTGTTTTGCTGTGGCCAGGCCCTTTTTGGGACGCTTTCCTGTGGGGGAAGGGAAAAGTAAGCAAGGGATATGGCAAGGGAGGGTGTCAGCAGCAACTCTAGCACCAACTATCCTCAGGTCACCTCCCCTCCTCTCTTTGCTCACCAAGCCTCCTCATCCTTCAACCATAATGGGCAAGAAGCCCTCTTTAATCATTTCCATCCAAGACCACATGCCCTGGTTCTTCCTCCTTTGACCTCCTGATGCAGATACAGACACAGACACCCTGCTTATAGTCTGTACGTTTTGTTTTCCTGTTTTCCTTTTAAAATTCTGCAAGGAAGTAAATGTGCTTCCATGTCATCTCATTTTGCCCACCAGGATTAGACAAGTGTCTGCTTAATGATTATAGCTCACCCATATTCTTACCACCCAACATTACACCAATTTCAGAATCCTTGATCTGCACACTCTAGGGACCCAGCTTTGAGGATCAATGTGAGGGAAGAGAGGGCTTGAACCCTGTTTCTTGCCTGTTTCTCTCCCCCTCACATCAAATCTCCTCCCTGGTTCCATCTGACCCTCTCCATCAGTTTATCCCCTCCCTCTCCATTTAGTCCCAGCTTTTCTTCACTTCTGCCTGAACCTGGATACAAGGGCAGTTCAAAAACTTTATGGAATATGGAATTAAAATATAGTTTATATTGGTGCATAAAGATCAAGGCTAACTAATTTGATGGTAAGGATGGAATGTGCTACCTTGAGAAATACTGAGTAGCTATTGCTGAGGTCATATAGGCAGAGACCCCATGTGTATTATGTATATCATAATACACATTTTCCATGAACATTTTGAATACCCTCCTATGTGTCTCCTTCCTAGAATTCCCACCTCCCATCTACCCTCTAATCTGCCTACTAGAAGGATGTTTCTAAAGCCAAACTTGATCTTGTCTCTGCTTAAAATCAGTCAACGTCTCTCCATGGCCCATGAGATTAAGATTAGTACAAGCACCTTAGATTGGCCTTCAGCATCCCTCCCTGATGTTCTCATCTACTAGAACACCTAGGGTTTAGAGCAGGTGGCCCTGAGATCCCTCTCAGTTCTTCAACAATATGGTAGTTGTACCTTGTCCTGTCTGATTGCTCTGGGAGCCAACTGAAGGGCGCCGCTGGGTCAAGAAGACGCCGGGGGCCATGGGTGTGGTGCTGCGGTTTGCCTGGGCCATGCCAAAAGCATTGGGACGAGCAGTATACTCATGGTCAGCAAGACTTCCTGACAGAGCCTCTTGTTTGGGTTCAGGAGGAGGCAGGGGTGAAGAAGAGGTGGGAAGCTGGGGAACAGCAGCCAGAGTTGGGGCTGGTACTGTCACACTGATATTGGAGTCTTGAGGTCGAGGTTGTTCTACCTCCTTTAGCAAAGGTTTCTTCTTGATGTATTTCTTCTTTTGGGCCTTCTGTAACTCCTGAAACACAAACCAAGTGAGAGCAGAGATTTAGGACTGGAGCAAAGAAGAAAATTTCCCAGGAAAAGAACTAGAGAATGATATGGTTCTGCAACCCATCACCCACCTCCCATCCCCACCAAGTCTAGCCAGCATATACACCACAACACAAATCCTTCCAGTACCTGAAGTGATCTCTTTGGTACCATCCATCCTTAAGTCATCACTACCACTGATCAGTACACTGGCAAGAGAACTGTAGATGAATTTGGAGACTTGGACTTTCGTCCTAGCTTTGTCACTAGTGAGTTGATGGTGAACATTTCTAACAACAACCAAATTTACACTAGGAGCTAAGGCACAGTAGACATTTTATCTTATTTAAATACTCAGAACAGCCCTAAGAATGAAGAACCCTCACTTTACAGATGAGATAACTGAGGTGCAGGGATATTAAGTAATTTGAGCCAAAAGCCTCACAGTTGAAGTAGTTAGTGTCAGTATTTAACCAGGTCTATCTAAAGATACACCCTGTGAACTTCTCAAAATCAAATATCTGGGGAGTAGAACTATTAGTTTTGGGATAATCAAGGCTTACACTCCATAAATTGGATCTTTGTCAAAGTTACTAATTTTTCTGAATCTCAGCTGCTTCACCTATAAAATGGCTAAAATAATATCTGCTTTTCAAAGTTGTGGGAAAGATTAAATAAATTAACAATATAAAAATACATAGCATGGGGGCTAGCACTGTGGCTCGGTGGGTTAAAGCCCCAGCCTGCAGCACTGGCATCCCATATGGGCAACAGTTTGTGTCCTGGCTGCTTCACTTCTGATCCAGCTCCCTGCTAATGTGCCTTGGAAATAATGGAGGATGGCCCAAGTGATTAGGCCCCTGCACACATGTGGGAGACCCAGAAAAAGCTCCTGGCTCCTAGATTTGGCCTGGCTCAGTCCTGGTTGTTGTGGCCATTTGGGGAGTGAACCAGCAGATGAAAGATCTCTATCTCTCCTCTCTCTAACTCTGCCTTTCAAATTAAAAAATAAATTTTTAAAAAATACATAGCATGCAGTGGCATTCAAGTGGTAAACCAGTCTATCTTTACCTCTTATAATGTATTATCTTCATTTTACTGGTGCTTTACATAAAAAGATTTATTTATTTGAAATACAGAGTGACAGAGAGAAGGGGGGAGGGGACAGAGGGAGAGGGAAAAAAAGAAGGAAAGAAAGAGAGAAGAGAATAGAGAGATCTATCCACTGGTTCCATCAGCTGCCGTGCTGCTGGGGCTGGGCCAGGCCAAACCTAGGAGCCAGGAACTCCATCTGGGTCTCCTACATGGAGAGCAAGGATTCAAGCACTTGAGCCATCATCCTCTGCTTCCTAGGCACATTAGCAGGGAGCTGGATTGGAAGTGGAGTAGCTGGGACCTTAACCAGCATTCCCATATAGAATGTAGGCATCCCAATTGGTAGTTTAACCTAGTGCACCACAACATCTACCCTCTTTCACTGGTCCTTTCCTTTTCACAAAAAAAAAAAACTTGACAATCCTCCAGGTCACTGGGTCTAAAAACCTCAATTTTATATGGGAGGGAGTAATAAGGAATTGTGTCACTTCTCCCAATACCTTGGATTTCATCCATCTATTGCTCCATGGGCTGCTATTCACTGTATAATGAATAGAATACCTGCATAATGGGCATCTGTAGCCCTGAGAACCTGGAAAGGTAGTGCTGAGAGCATGTGAACAACTTCACCTTCTGAAATGCTACACAGCCACACAGACCACCTCAGTGATTACATTTCTTTGCCTTCCCTTGGCAACACGAGCCTATTCCTGCCTTCAGAAGATCTGATAGTCCATGGCTACCATAGAAATTTCTGGAGGACAAGAATAATAATATTAGTAATACATGCAGGTACTGTTCTTTATTTAATTAATAAACATAAAAATACAAGAAGTAAGAATTATAATCGCATTTTAAGAACGAAGGAACTGCGGCACAGAAAGGGTAAGTCAGTTCCCCCAGTGGCCAGACTGTGATTTAGACTGAAGCCATGTGGCTTTAGAATCTCTTCTCTCAGCCACACTGCTATTCTACCCATAGCAGAAAGAACATTTCTCTTCCCCTTTCTTTCATCTTGCTCTAAAACTGTCCCTTCATATCTAGATCACTTAGCCTAGATTTTTCTACCTTTGCTGCCAGTATCTTAGGCATACTTTTTATCCATATATCCCTTTAAATGACTAGAATACCTTACAGTAAAGACTACTTGCCAATTCATTCTCTTGCTGAAAAAGCTGTTAGCAGGTCCTCAACCAACTTCCAACTCCCTTGTCTGACATTCATGATCTTCACAGTGTGGCTGCTTACAGCTAGCCAACCCATAATGACAATGATGAAAGCTGACATGCCTATAGCACTTACTTTGTACCAAGTGCTGTTCTAAGAGTTTGTACATATATAACTTCATTTAATCCTAAGATAAAATCTATGAGGAAACTGAGGCAAGAACAAATTAAGTAACCTGCTCAAGTGGTAGAGCTGGGATTCAAACACAGGAAGGCTGGCCCCAAAATTTGTTCTTTTAACATTTTTTTTTTTTTTTTTTTTTGACAGGCAGAGTGGACAGTGAGAGAGAGAGACAGAGAGAAAGGTCTTCCTTTGCCATTGGTTCACCCTCCAATGGGCCGCCGCGGGCCAGCGCGATGCGACCGGCGCACCGCGCTGATCCGATGGCAGGAGCCAGGAGCCAGGTGCTTTTCCTGGTCTCCCATGGGGTGCAGGGCCCAAGCACCTGGGCCATCCTCCACTGCACTCCCGGGCCACAGCAGAGGGCTGGCCTGGAAGAGGGGCAACCGGGACAGAATCCGGCGCCCCGACCGGGACTAGAACCCGGTGTGCCGGCGCCGCTAGGCGGAGGATTAGCCTAGTGAGCCGCGGCGCCGGCCCTCTTTTAACATTTCTTATTTTATCCCATTCTGTACCATGAAGTCTCCAATCTAGAAAAGTCACTCATTCACTAACCCAACACTGACTAAACACATCTGCTTACCATAGTGAGGACACCAAGTTAAATTAAATATATCCCCACTTTTAAAGCACCTGCAGTTTAGAAAGGGACATAGATGTACACTTAGGATCTTAAGCACTATGAGATAATGCTACAGAAGCATGGAAGAAAGTCACTAAAATAAACTGGTGGTAGGAGGTGTGGAGGGTTGTTAGGTAAGGCATCGAAGAGGGAAGAAGGAGCAGCTTGTGCAAAGGTGCAATGCATGAGACAACTAGAAACACGGAGTAAATTATGAGTACTATAGTGCAGTGTGGCTGGCATAAAGGATGTGTGCATGAAGGGCTGGGAGGAGAGGTGATTACAGACAAATCAAGAGGGCCTTGTATGTTGTACCAAGGTGTTCCCTTCTCCTGGACTGCCTCTCTGTTGCCTACAAAAAGCTTATCCTGTAAAACCCCTCCCCGATTTCAAAACTTCTTTGAGATAATCCCTGGTCAACCCAAACAGAAGTATGCTCCTTAAAAGGCACTAGTTCATACTCTTAATTAATTACTATATATTTAAAGAGTAGAATCCCTTTTCCTCAAAGTATGTCTTGCATAGCACTGGGGTATACCTACTAGATAGATGTTCTGGTCAAAGTAGGGCCACCTGGCCTGCTTGGTAACTACTGGCTCCAGTAATAGCCTCTGAGACATTTCTAAGCAACTCAAGAGCTCCATAAAACATACTATGAAAACATCATGCTATTAAATTTTATTTAAATAGGATATAATTAATAAATTATATAAACATTTAACTATTTATTTAAATAGCAAGAAACATAAAATCTGAAGTTAGAAGATATGAGTTTGAATCTTGTTTCCTCCATTTACTGGATGCATTATCCTGGACTATTCAAAGAGAGCCTCATTTTCTTCACCTGTAAAATGATGAAAATACCACCCATTGAACAGGGCTACTGGACATATGACATGAGACATTATACATGGAAACACCTGACACACAGATGCTCAATAATATGCTAAGCTAGGATACGGCATGAAGAACTAAGAAGATGTTGACAAGGAAAGAACCAAAAGATTCACCTCCAAACGTTCCTAGAGTTTGCGAACCACACTACATGTTGAAGAACTTTGTAATCTATAATGCTAAGAGGTGAATTTGATTCTAGTGATAATGCCACTTTAAGACAAAGTGGTGTGTAAAAGTTTTCTTGAGAGGCAGGTGGTTAAGATCAAAGTAATAGTATATTTAATAAAGGGGATAGGAATACTCCCTAACAGACCAAATTCCAATACTGAGTGGCTAAGAACTTGAGTGTACTCATTTGAGTGATCTCTTTGTGTTTTATCTGGGGGCAAAGGGGAGATCAGGTCCTTCTCATCTGAGAGACTTTTTATACAATCTGAAAGGCAAGTGATATCAGCAAGCGTTTTTCTCCAGCCCTGTATTTTCTTTCATCCTAAATCATGTCAATTATGTAACTTGTGGAAGTAGCTTGTCAATGAGTTGGGACATGAAGGATCTAGGAGGGGACAAGGATACTGCCAAGGATAAAGATCAAAGGTTACCCACTCTCCACTGAGACACTAGTGGGATCCTATCAGCCTGAAAATCCGAGTTTTAGATTCTAAGTCAAATAGGAATCAGTAGCAGGGTTAGTGTCTGAGATGTCAGCACTTACCTGTTGAGCCAGTTTTGCTGCTGCTGCAGCCAAGCCTGTCTCGATGGAGGCTACCCGTGTCCCTTCACGAACAGGACGATCCTGCTTTGGTAGAGTTGGGGTCACACGGGCTACAGGGAGACAGGATGAGAGAAGGTGTCACTCTCTAAGACAGTTATTAGAATGCCAACTATATATTCCCCACCTCCAAGCTCCCCAAATGTAATCTCATTGGCCTTACTGCTTCTGGCTTTTTCAAAGCCAGATTTTGCTTTCATTTAGGTAAAAAGCTAGCTCACCTATACTCAAAGAACACACCACTGGCCCAACTAACTAAAAAAAGGAAAGGCCCAAATCAATAAAATCAGAGATGAAAAATGGACTGTAACAACAGACACCATAGAAATAAAAAGAATCATCAGAAATTACTACAAAGAGTTGTATGCCAGCAAACAGGGAAAGCTATCAGAAATGGATAGATTCCTGGACACATGCAACCTACCTAAATTGAACCATGAAGACATAGAAAACCTAAACAGACCCATAACAGAGACAGAAATGGAATCAGTAATAAAGTCCCTCCCATCAAAGAAAAGCCCAGGACCAGACAGATTCATTGCTGAATTCTACCAGACATTTAAAGAAGAACTAACTCCAATTCTTCTCAAACTATTCAGAACAATCAAAAAAAGAGGGAATCCACCCAAATTCGTTCCATGAAGCCAGCATCACCTTAATCCCTAAGCCTGAAAAAGATGCAGCACTGACAGAAAATTACAGACCAATATCCCTGATGAACATAGATGCAAAAATCCTCAATAAAATTCTGCCTAATAGAATGCAACAACACATCAGAAAGATCATCCACCCAGACCAAGTGGGATTTAACCCTGGTATGCAGGGATGGTTCAATGTTCACAAATCAATGTGATACACCACATTAACAGACTGCAGAAGAAAAACCATATGATTATCTCAATAGACGCAGAGAAAGCATTTGATAAAATACAACACCCTTTCATGATGAAAACTCTAAGCAAACTGGGTACAGAAGGAACATTCCTCAATACAATCAAAGCAATTTATGAAAAACCCACGGCCAGCATCCTATTGAATGGGGAAAAGTTGGAAGCATTTCCACTGAGATCTGGTACCAGACAGGGATGCCCACTCTCACCATTGCTAGTCAATATAGTTCTCGAAGTTTGAGCCAGAGCCATCAGACAAGAAAAAGAAATTAAAGGGATACGACTTGGGAAGGAAGAAGTCAAACTATCCCTCTTTGCAGACGATACGATTCTTTATTTAGGCGATCCAAAGAACTCTACCAAGAGCCTATTGGAACTCATAGAAGAGTTTGGCAAAGTGGCCGGATATAAAATCAATGCACAAAAATCAACAGCCTTTGTATACACAGGCAATGCCACAGCTGAGGAAGAACTTCTAAGATCAATCCCATTCGCAATAGCTACAAAAACAATCAAATATCTTGGAATAAACTTAACCAAGGACGTTAAAGATCTCTATGATGAGAATCACAAAATCTTAAAGAAAGAAACAGAAGAGGATACAAAAAAATGGAAAATCTTCCATGCTCATGGATTGGAAGAATCAATATCATCAAAAAGTCCATTCTCCCAAAAGGAATTTATAGATTCAATGCAATACCAATCAAAATACCAAAGACATTCTTCTCAGATCTGGAAAAAATGATGCTGAAATTCATATGGAGGCACAGGAGACCTCGAATAGCTAAAGCAATCTTGTACAACAAAAAGAAAGCTGGAGCCATCACAATACCAGATGTCAGGACATACTACAGGGCAGTTGTAATCAAAACAGCATGGTACTGGTACAGAAACAGATGGATAGACCAATGGAACAGAATTGAAACACCAGAAATCAACCCAAACATCTACAGCCAACTTATATTTGATCAAGGATCTAAAACCAACTCCTGGAGCAAGGACAGTCTATTCAACAAATGGTGCTGGGAAAACTGGATTTCCATGTGCAGAAGCATGAAGCAAGAGCCCTACCTTATACAAAAATCCACTCAACATGGATTAAAGATCTAAATCTACGACCCGACACCATCAAATTATTAGAGAACATCGGAGAAACTCTGTAAGATATAGGCACAGGCAAAGACTTCTAGGAAAAGACCCCGGAGACATAGGCAGTCAAAGCCAAAATTAACTATTGGGATTGCATCAAATTGAGAAGTTTCTGTACTGCAAAAGAAACAGTCAGGAAAGTGAAGAGGCAACCGACAGAATGGGAAAAAATATTTGCAAACTATGCAACAGATAAAGGATTAATAACCAGAATCTACAAAGAGATTAAGAAACTCCACAACAACAAAACAAACAACCCACTTAAGAGATGGGCCAAGGACCTCGACAGACATTTTTCAAAAAAGAAAATCCAAATGGCCAACAGACACATGAAAAAATGTTCAGGATCACTAGCCATCAGGGAAATGCAAATCAAAAACCACAACGAGGTTTCACCTCACCCGTTAGAATGGCTCACATACAGAAATCTACCAACAACAGATGCTGGCGAGGATGTAGGGAAAAAGGGACACTAACCCACTGTTGGTGGGAATGCAAACTGGTAAAGCCGCTATGGAAGTCAGTCTGGAGATTCCTCAGAAACCTGAATATAACCCTACCATACAACCCAGCCATCCCACTCCTTGGAATTTTTACCCAAAGGAAATTAAATTGGCAAACAAAAAATCTGTCTGCACCTTAATGTTTACTGCAGCTCAATTCACAATAGCTAAGACCTGGAATCAACCTAAATGCCCATCAACAGTAGACTGGATAAAGAAATTTTGGGATATGTACTCTATAGAATACTATACAGCAGTAAAAAAAAAATGAAATCCAGTCATTTGCAACAAAATGGAGGAATCTGGAAAACATCATGCTGAGTGAAATAAGCCAGTCCCAAAGAGACAAATATCGTATGTTCTCCCTGGTCAGTGACAACTAACTGAGCACCAAAAAGGAAACCTGTTGAAATGAAATGGACACTATGAGAAACAGTGACTCGATCAGCCCTTGTCCTGTCGATGAACAACTTAATACTTTATCCCTTTTAGTATACTTTTTTGTTCTACTTAATACTATTGGTTGAACTCTTTAATTAACACACAATTATTCTTAGGTGTTTAAATTTAACTGAAAAGTTATCCCTGCTAAATATAAGAGTGGGAATAAGAGAGGGAAGGAGATGTACAATTTGGGACATGCTCAATCGGACTTGCCCCAAACGGTACAGTTAGAAACGTGGCAGGGGATTCCAATTCAAGCCCATCAAGGTGGCATGTACCAATGCCATCTTGCTAGCCAAAGTGATCAGTTTCGGTTCACAATTGATCATAATGATAGGACTAAGAGTCAAAGGGATCACATAAAAAAGGCTAGTGTCTACTAATACTAACTGATAGAATTAAAAAGGAGAGAACAATCCAACATGGGAAGCGGGATACACAGCAAACTCAGAGAATGGCAGATGTCCTAAAGAGCACTCTAGCCTCAGAATCAGCCCTTGAGGCATTTGGATCTGGCTGAAGAGCCCATGAGAGTATTTCAGGCATGGAAAGCCAAGACACTCTGGCAAAAACAAACAAAAAACCTAAATGAAAGATCTCTGTGAGTGAGATCCCAGTAGAAAGAATGGGCCATCAAAGAAGGAGGTACCTTTCTCTGAAGGGAGGAGAGAACTTCCACTTTGACTATGGCCTTGTCTAAATAAGATCAGAGTTGGCGAACTCAAGAGGCTTCCATAGTCTTGGTAACTCATGACAAGAGCCTAGGGTGATTACTGACGCCATAAACAAGAGTGTCAACTGTTAAATCAACAACAGGTGTCACTGTGCACTTACTCCCCATCTCTGTCCTTAATGTGTTGTTCAATGTGAATTAATGCTATAACTAGTACTCAAACAGTACTTTACACTTTGTGTTTCTGTGTGGGTGCAAACTGTTGCAATCTTTACTTAGTATATACTGAATTGATCTTCTGTATATAAAGATAATTGAAAATGAATCTTGATGTGAATGGAATGGGAGAGGGAGTGGGAAATGGGAGGGTTACGGGTGGGAGGGAAGTTATGGGGGGAAAAAGCCACTGTAATCCAAAAACTGTACTTTGGAAATTTATATTTATTAAATAAAAGTTAAAAAAAGAAGAAAACAAACAAAAAGAATAACAGTTGGGGTTGCCACTATGGTGCAGCGGGTAAAGCTGCCACCTGCAGTGCCAGCATCCCATATGGGTGCTGATTCAAAACCCCGGTGCTCCAATTCCAATCCAGCTCTCTGCTATGGCCCCTGGGAAAGCAGATGAAGACAGCCCAAGTGCTTGGACCCCTGTACCCACATGGGAGAATTGGAAGAAGCTCCTGGCTCCTGATGCCCAGCGCTGGCTCTTGCAGCCATGTGGGATGTGAACCAGCAGATGAAAGATCTCCATCTCTCTCTCTCTCTCTCTGCCCCTGCCTCTCTCTAACTCTGCCTTTCACATAAATAAATAAACCTTAAAAACAAATAAACAAAGTTAACCTCCCTGAATTGGCATTTAAAGTTGTCCAAATTCTGCTCCTGGGCTATTATCTTCCCAACTTTGTTCATATACCCAACCCACTGTTATGGTCTGAATGTCTCCTCCAAAACACAAGTTGAAATTTTTTTTTTTATTTTTTGACAGGCAGAGTTAGACAGTGAGAGAGAGAGACAGAAAGGTCTTCCTTTGCCGTTGGTTCACGCCTCCCAATGGCCACTGCAGCCGACGCTGTGCCAATTCGAAGCCAGGAGCCAGGTGCTTCCTCCTGGTCTCCCATGAGGGGTCAGGGCCCAAGCACTTGGGCCATCCTCCGCTGTACTCCCGGGCCACAGCAGAGAGCTGGACTGGAAGAGGAACAACCGGGACAGAATCCGGCGCCCCAACCAGGACTAGAACCTGGGGTGCCGGCGCCGCAGGCGGAGGATTAGCCAAGTGAGCCACGGCGCCAGCCCAGAAGTTGAAATTGAATTGCCCCTGTGATAGTATTAAGAGGTGGGACCTTTAAGAGGTGATTCTGTCATCAACCGTCATGAATGGATTAAGATCATCACTG